TGGATTTCAGCAATCCACATAGGTAGACTCTCATCTTTCTTTCTTGTTATTAATAGTAGAAGGCAACTTCGTTTTCACTCTTTCTTTCTTCTTTGGCTTTTCCGGTTCGGCACTTGTCTTGTCCGGAGTTGTCGAAGAAGAAGGAGACTTGGGAGAAGGAGTAGAATGAGGAGATTTAGGCGAAGAGGGAGATGGACTCGGCGGTCCATTCCCATTGGTTGACGTCTTAACTCTAGGACCAACAAACTTGATGGCATCACCCATCAACTTCTTCTCTTCTTTCTTCTTTTCTCTTTCTTCTTCTCTTTCTTCTTCCTTACCTTCTACCTGGTTCTTTCGTTTCACAATGTTTGTGATTGTTCTTAATCCTACAACAATCTCATCTAACTGAGTTTGCTGCTTGTCGATTTTCTCTTCCAAAAAGGTAAGGTAAGTCATAATATGAGATAACGTATGCGACATGTCTCTCTGTTCCCCACCTTCTGTTCCCATCACTTGCCTAATTTCTACAACTTTTCGTTCCCTCCTTTGTTCTTGTTCTCTCCTTCTTGTCAGCTCTTCTTTCTTTCTTTCTTCCGAAGCCAGCGTCTCTTTCAGTCGTTGGATGTTTGCTTCAATCATAGCCTCGGTCACTTCTGGTTTAATCTCACCTTTACGAGTCAGTTCCATCACTTCTTCCAACTGTTTTAATGCAAACTGGTCCAACGCCTGACGACACTGGGCGACCAGTTTGGAGACCTCGATCCCGGCTGCCACAACCTGCACAACTGTAACAGCTTTCTTCAGACGGTCCCCAGTCGTCTGCAAATCAAATCTGTTACGGATGTTTTGTTCGGCATCCGGTTCGGATAGACGCAATTCAGTCAACAGTTGGTTCCACAAAGCTAGCAGTTCTTGTTTCCTATTTTCGGCCTGCGTCCGAGTCTTAAGCTCGGACGGTCCATCGCCCACGGAGAGAGTGATCGGAATAGGAAACAAAAACGTGGTCACAAACCTCGTCAGAATAGACATCTGCAGACATTTTTGAAGGATAAAAACAAGAAAATTCGTCAGCCAGGTTGGTCTACCTCAAATAAACAAAAGCAGACAATTAATTTGATCGGTCACCTGAGCCAAAACAATCTTGAACAGAAAAGATTTTAATAAAATGGAACAGAAGGAAATAATTTCAATTTCTCCTATCTAATCTGAATGTCGTTCTGTTTATTCTGTGTGATGACATCCTATGTTAGTACAGGTACCGCAACCCAGGCCAGCGTGATCATCAATAGCACACAAGTGAGTACACAGGCACACAACACAGCTTACGACAACAGGTAAGTCTGCCAACAAACAGAACATCAATAGTCAGCGTCTTCCTTTTCTAATGCTGTGTCTTCTGAAGTCTGGTGTGATCACACACTCGATCTGACATCCAGCACCACAGTCATGTCAATCTTCCAACCGTGCCGCCTTCGTCGTCACAGTGTATCTTCCCGCTTAGGCACGTTCATGCCTGCCACGTGTCACCCCTGGCATGCCAACATTGCAGCTCATCGAGTCTGCCCTGTCATCACGTTCATCCAGTCATCATCATCGGTGGGGTACATGTCAGCAGCGTATGCCTTGATCGTCCACGTCAGCCAGCCTGATCTCCTGTAGCAATACCATCACGTCGCCAGTCAATCGTACAATGCCACGTCAACCAGGTAATGGAACACCACGTCAGCCTGAAGCTTCTCACCAAAATAGACGAGTGGTGAGTCAGTACTGCCACATCAGCGTTCCTCAATAATCACTGGCCACGTCAGCAATGTATCCCGATCGCAAATGCCTTCGATCAGGATCTGGATCGCAACGCGATCTTGACTGCAACAACTTCTGTCGGTATACCACGTCAGCACCTGACGTGCGTCTCGAGCGCTCTCCCGCACTTGTCCATGTCAGCACCTATCTCCAATGTAGGCGTCACCACTTGATCACGCACGCGTTGGTTGTCGCCGGGATAACGGTACTGCGCTTGTCGAGAGTCGCGGCTATAGACACGTGCGATATCAATCGCGACGCGCACTGTTTCCCACTTACCTTGCCACCAGGCGCGCACGTGCGTCTTCATCATCATTCTTGTACACGTTGTCTTTGTTGGTCACATCATCGGGAGTACAACTCCGATACCAAATTGCAATGAACCCAGATCGTGAAGACACTTGTCAACAATGCAAGCCCGATAAATATCAACCTGTGGATGATTGTCAATAATCATAATCGTGTCCAGATACAATGAGACGGGAAAAAACATACACAGACGAAGGAGAGAGGAAGGAGAATAGACTTAGAGGGAGAATAGAAGACAATGCCCACTTCTGCTTCGGGCTCCCTCCTCGATCACCACCTCAGTAATCAATAATCTGAACGCGCATCTGAAGTTCTATCACAATGTGCCACGTGGCACGTCAATCAGTTCTCATCAGCGAGCTGGAGCAATGTCGACCTCAAGATCACCAGGTACGTATCCACTATCGCCCCACAGGCATGATCTCCTCCCGAACGTCATTGAAACAGAACAGCAATACCAGTCTCATAACCTCGCCATGTCAACATCAGTGACATACGTGGCAGCGGCCACATCAGCGGTGGCGAGTGGCAGCTGCCACGTCAGCATGCCCAGAAGACAATTGCAAACCAGTCACCATGTCGAGCCAGCATAGCGTCGCCGTAGTCCACCCGTTTGCAAGCATAGAGCCTGGTCCAGCCAGCGTTGCAGCATTGTGCTAGCGTCGTCGTCAACTTGGAGGTCAGCATTTGACGCAAGACAGAATGTTCCTCAAAGCCAAGAGGTCAACGCTTATGTAGCGTTGACGCGGGGCCTGGACCCCAGGTGCTGCATCCCTCAGCCGTCGAGATTTCAATGAAAATGACGGCCCAGATTGGCCTGAAACAGAATTCCCTGTGGCCTTGATGCTGTCTGGGTACCTGCGCACAACAAGTGAGTGTATCCGACCGAGGGCCTGGGTGCGGTACCTTTGACCTGACAGTTGACTCAGACCCTTGACTTTCCAGGGGGCAGTGCATGGTCGCACTGCCTGGCGCAGGCCGTGTTTGGCCTGTGTCGTCTGGGCGCATTTTCGGGCCCCCAGAGTGCTGCGGAACACGGGTTACTGCAATTCCTCGACTTCGGTCACAACTCAAAGGTTTTGAAGCATTCTTCTTTTCCCTGATCAGGAAAGACACCCTTTGGGCATTATGGAAAAGAAGGTGTGACATAACCTTTGGAGATCACCTTATCACCCCCGTTAACCCAGTTATCACAATCAAACACATAATAGAATAGAAACAGAACTACATGGAAGAAAGCCCTAAACCAGATACACATTACACCGGACAAAAAAACAGAAATAATCCAAAGATTCACAACCTTAAAATTAGGAGCAGGACATTTGGGTACAGTTGAGAATGATCACCTAATCCTCAAGAACTGGTGAAGCCTTCCAACCTTATTTAACATCAACCCCATCAGTCAGGCTGTAACAGCCCGGGATCCAACGTTCACAAACCCTAATCAAACACTCAACGTCCATCCTACGCAAACCTCTCACTAATCACCACCCTCGCTCACGCAATCCCCCGCCCACATAGCTCTCACCTTCACCCATCCAAAAGTAATCCCCCAATTTCCCTACTCCAGCCACACAATCATCCGCCTCACCCCCTAAATGCCAGTCTTTTAAGTAAATAGAAAGCACTAAAATCTGTGTCTCAAGCCAGCTCGATCCCCCTCTCCAACAGTCAAGCCGCTCCAGCACAGCTTACACTCCCCACCGACCATCAAATTCATACCCCTCACTCCCGCCTTGACACCCGGCTTCTTCACAACCTTAATTAGTCACCAAGGCCGACACTCCACTCACAGCCCACTCTTCACACAAGTCCGACTAGGCCCCCAGTAGAAAAAGAGCCATCAGGTTACAGGGGTTAAGTGAAGGGTACAACAGAGATGATCCGTCAGGGCGAATTACAAAGGCAAGGCCCTCATCGAGGATTCACTTCTAGAAAAAGGGATAAGCATTAAGGTTTAGAGTTTATGCAATTTTCGCTAGACACTGCTCAGGTAGACCTTCAGGATCAGATAGTCAGAGCAAAAAGCCCAAGAACAGAACCAGGTGGTATAGTTGGTCAGCTAGGCTAACTTCTTGGGTCTCTCAGCCTTAATGGGGAGAAGCATGTGTGAGTAACCATTGTACTATTTTTGACTTGCCGGTGGAATAGGAACCAGACTGATGCTCCCCAGAATGGAAAAGGAGCCAGAACCCTAAGGTTCTGTTTTTTTTTTTTTTTTTTAAAGGATGTACATTGTGTTACCCACAGGCCTAACTCAGTTGGTACACCAATGAGCTGTTGAGATGCAGACCCAAGTTTGATGATCATATCTCAAGGCCACCGCCCTTTGTTCTGTTTCTTTTTTTTTCATAGAGGGATGCACATTGTGTAAGGGCACACTTAATAACCACAAGGATGGACCGAGAAAACAAAAAAAGTAGGGATAGATGGATGAGCATCGTGACAACCCAGATGTGAATGACCACCAGGTGATGCATGAATGCAGGATGTAGCGGCATGCAGAGAAAGAGTTCAGGGTGTTTTTCTGCACAGTAGGATTAGGCATGCGCTGTGTTGCCTCATGCTAGGAGGAGAGAACGAGGTTGGACTGTATGATCTTGTGTCAGAATCAGCCGATGTGGCTGAATGGTACACACATCAAACAGCGAATGAACGGATCATGAGTTCACCTTGGAATCCTGACAGAAGCGAAAGATAGAATAATATTGAGTGCTACCCCCTTCGAAAACGAACAAAATCAGCTTTTGATAGTTGTGACGACCATTGAACACACACGAGTATGACTACTTCATGGACATGTGTCATCTCGTCAGTGTCTGTATGTGTGTGAATGAAATTGTGTTCGTGAGAGAAGAAACGCCAGTGTGCTCATCACTGTGTTGTGTCCATGGTGCTGTGCGCAGGGAGCAGTAGGACTTGGAAGAGGGATGGTACCCCGTGTTCTCTACAAGGTTAGGTCAAATATCTTGGTTGTCTGTTTTGCCTCTCTCCCGTCCTGTCCTTTTTTTTTTTTTTTTTTTTGCAAAAGGGTGCAGTTTTATTATATGTCCAAACAATGAGGCGGGGAATTCCTCAACATCTCAACCCGGAGAGCACTGGGGCCGTTACCCAGGTGGGCTTGTGCTGGAAACCGGGTCCAGCGTCCCATTCACTGCAACCAGCAAACACAAACTGGACAAAGTAAGGCCAAAACAGAATAAAAAGAACAATTAATACCTCTATTTATCCCTACAGATCCATAATATCCCCTATCGCTTCCTTCACCCTCTAGGTTTCTTGCCCTTCAATCCTAATTGTTTCTTCCGATTGCGCCCTTAGCTCTTTAAAGCCTGAGGCTTGCTTGCCTAAAACTTTATCCTTAAACTTCTACATCCTAAACTCCGTTAAATATACTTCTACATCCTAGAATGTCTTAAATAGAATTTTCCTTCACCTACCCAAACTTACCGTACTTGAACTGCTAAAGAGCAGCTAGTCCCTTCCTCTCCACTTGAACTGTAGTCCGGTGTCTCGCAGAGCTGCCACCTTTCGCTGGCCCAGCACCCTTTGTGTGAATCAGGCCTTCAGCTCCTGCTCCTGATCCGGTGTTGCATGCTGCGCCTGCACACACGGGCCATTTTCCAGGCCCTGCGTCCTTCAGGCCGAAAGCCTGAAATCCAGGGCTTACAGGCCCCGTGTCTGAAATCCAGGGCTTACAGGCCCCGTGTCTGTTTCAGGCCGAAAGCCTGAA